CAGAAAAAACAAACAACAAAAAAAAGAAGCACTGACTATCAAAATTAACGTACAGGAGTGAGAGATTGAAGATTTCTTCCTTAAGCCCAAAACTTTTTTTTTTAATGGCAATGTCTGGAAACATTCCATGGTGTCCCACTGACTTCAGAACTGAGTAGGACTGAGGCAGGACAGTCTTGGCATCCGGGTGACCCAGCGGTCTCTCCCAAGGCCCCTGGGCCCTCGGCTCTGGCTGCGTTTCTACAGCACACCGGTGTCCTGCTGTACCTCACGCACGGTCCACTCCGCGTGAAGGGGACCAGTGTCTGATTCTTAGCGTTCTCCTGCTTCTCGATTGTTAGACAGAAGTGCCCCGTGCATTCAGAACACAGCTTCTCTAGCTCTTCATGTCCCCAGCGATCCTCTGCCCCTGCTTGGAAACTAGCAAACCGATGGGTTAGGAATGAGAGCAGAGGCCGCGCCCATGGGTTCTAAGAGAAAGTGCTCGCTCCAGTGAGGAAGTGGAGGAACTTGAAGTTGTAGACTTGGCAAAATCTATTTTGACCCCTCGGAGTTCTCTTTTTCCTTCCTTTTATGCCCTTGGTGGTGAGTTTCATATGACCAAGAGTTAACTCTTGCTGTGACCTTTTTGGATTTTATTCCCAAAGCGGTAGTGGGCTAACTCGGCCCCGTGTCTGCCTCCAGGCGGGAGAGGTCTTGCTCTGGCTGCTCCAGCGGCCCCACTGGCCGGGCCGCCTCGGGGCCTGGTGGACCTAGAAAGCGACTTCTCTCCCGGGCCCACCTCAGCTTCAGCACGGCCGCTGCAGAGCGGGCGAGGAGGCGGCAGTGCTTTCAGCGCTTGGCTTGGTCTGTACACGCCCACCTCTGCTGCAGTTCTGCCCGGCCCTCGGAGGAGGTTGTATTTATTTTGAATTGAACAAAGGGAAGCTCAACAATGGCCAATTTGTAGTTAAGCCCCCCGGATGAAATGGCCCCTTTATCACTTGGCTTCTAATGGGACATCCAGCCTGCCCTCTTCCTCCAAGGTGGTCTCCCCACTTACTGCCACTCAAACCACAAGCCAGGAGCTGGAGATTTAGCTCAGCGGCACAGCGCCTGCCTGGCAAGCACAACGTCGTAAGTTCGATTCCCTGTACCAAAACAAAACAAAACAAAACAAAAAAAACACAAACCAGTGTTTAAAAACAAGCCTAAACGCTGGGCGTGGTGGCACATGCCTGCAATCCCAGCACTTGGGAGGCTGAGTCAGGAGGATCTTTGTGAGTTCGAGGCCAGCCTGGGCGACAAAGTGAGGTCAAGTCCAGCCTGAACTGATAGCGAGACCCTGTCTCAAAAAAAACAAAATAAATAAATAAACAAAAATTAAAACAAGTGTACACCCTCTCCTCCCATCATGCTACGAGCTGGTCTGCCTACCCTTTGGTGCTGGGATGGAAGCCACCTTGATTTAAACGGGAACCGTCTGAAAACCTGGCTTCTCTCCCTTCCCTGAACTTGCTCCCATCAAGAAACTGAACAATGGCTAGAAATGCAAACTATGAGAGCTGCAGCCCATCCCAGGACAGCCCTTTGAGGGGCTTGGGGCCTCTGTTCCTCCTCGCCCCCTGCTTCCACCTTGGGGCAGGACATGGGTGCTCTCAAAGCCATCAGGAGCCAGAGTTAAGCTCGGTCTCCACACTGCCCCACTGCTACAAGTCCTGGAGGCTGGAAGGACAGCATCCAAACCCAAGAGGGACAATCGGCCTGGTGTGAGGGAGCGTTTGGGCATCTCTACTGCGGCCTCGTGTGTGTGCTGTTTGCTTTCTGATGACGTATCACGCACATACGGGAAAGTACACAAACGATTAAGTGCAGAACTCTGTGAGTTTTCACAAAGTAAGAGTATCCGTACCTTCTGTGTAAGAAACACAACGCCACTAGCTCTTCTCCCCTGCCAGAAGCCTCCGCCATCCCCTCTGCCAGGCCCCACATTCTCCTCCTGCCTCCATCCTCGCTTCTAACAGCTTTTCCTGTTTTTTGTACTTTACATAAATGGAATCATAGAGCACATGCTGTTGTGTCTGGCTTCTTTTCTTCAACATTATGCTAGGGGAGCCGTCCATTTGTAGCTGTGTTTTGTTCATTCTCTCTATTGTATAGTATTCTATTGTGTGGATATATCACAACTAACTTATCCCTTTCCTCTTGATGGATATATAGGTGTGTTCTAGTTTCAGTTATTACCAATGCTGCTGTTGTGAAAATTCTAGTGAGACTTTAGCACACACCGTTTGGTAATTTTAGTTTGTCATTTAGGATGTAGGAGCAGAAGAGTGGCACACGCCTGTAATCCCAATATTCTGGGAAGCTGAGGCAGGAAGATCACCAGTTTAAACCCAGTTTGGGGAACCTAGTGGACTTTTTTTATTTTTTTGGTCTTTTTGAGACAGGGTTTCACTATGCAATGCAGGCTGGCCTTGAACTCACTTTGTAGCACAGGCTGGCCTCCAATTTGCAGTGATCCTCCTGCCTCAGCCTTCCGAACTTAGTGGACTTAGTGATACCCTATCTCAAAACAAAAATAAAAAAATAAAAAATAAGCTGAGGATGTAGCTCAGTGTGAAGACCCTGGGTTCAATCCCCAGTAGGCAAAAATTAATTAATTTATTTATTTATTTTTAAAAATGGTTACAGTGGTGTACATCCATAATCCTAGCTACTTAGAGGCTGAGATAGGAAGATTGCAAGTTTGAGGACAGTCTGGGCAACTTACTGAGACTGGTCTCAAACTAAAATTTTAAAAAGGGCTGGATTTGTAGCTCAGTGGCAGAGTACTTGCCTAGCATGTGTAAGGCCCTGGGTCCAATCCACAGTATGGTAAACACAAACACAAAAACAACATAAAAGATGCAGTCACAGAACTCATTTAATAACTTTGAAAAGTGACAGGGACTCCTGACAAAAATGTCAGCATCATAGAAAGGTGTAGAGTGGAAAATCAAGCCAGGTGTTGTGGCGCACACCTGTAATCCCAGCACTCGGGAGGCTGAGGCAGGAGGATCGGATCGTTGTGAGTTCGAGGCCAACCTGCGCTGCAGAGTGAGTTCAAGATCAGCCTGAACTGCATAGCGAGACCTTGTCTCAAAAAACAAAACAAAACAAAAAAAACCCCACGAAAATCAAAGCCGTTACATTACCTTGTTGCCTTTACCCTTTCTCCAAAATCACACACTATTAACAAGGCTTCTTGTGAATCATTTTCGGTATTTTCTTTTTTTTTTTGGTTCTTGTCCGATACTGGGAACCGAACTCACGACCTTGCGCTTGCCAGGCAGGCGCTTTGCCGCTGAGCTAAATCCCCAGCCCCTATTCTTGGTATTTTCTATTGCTTAGACAATCAAGTTAAGTGTGCTCACTGTAGCCCTTGCAAAACCACATTGGGTTTGATTGCACTGCATTGCTGCCCCACCTATCCCTCTTATCCCCTACTCTAACCCTACTTAGTCCCAGCAGTAAGCGGGTTAGAGTGTACGGCCTGGCAAGGGAATGGCCCTTCCTTTGATCGGAGGAAGCTGGGCTATCAGTTTCATAGGTCCTCCTTCTGTAAGACACATGGGAATTTACAGAGCAGTACATTTCATTTCCACTTCCATAAACATCTGTTGAGTGGCTGCTGTCCTCAGCTCGGGGTCTGAGAAGAGTCAGAGGGAGGGGGAGGAGGCCGCAGGAACAAACAGCTATTGTTCAGTGTTTACAGGTGTCCTCACAGAGCTGCGTCAATGGGTTCTGCGAGCGCAAATAAAGGAGCCATGAGTATTTCTCCTGAGCGTCCAGGAAGGCGCTGAGAGAGCTGACACTTGGGCCAGGCCTCGAATGATGGATTGCTAAAATGCTGCTGAGAGGAGGAAGGCAGACAGAGCTTTGCAGTCAGAGGGAACAGCACGCACAGGCACACGCAGGCTCGGTGTACCGTGCATGTCTGGGGGCCTCCAAGCGTTCGTTCATGGGTGGCTGACCTGAAGGATGCTAAGGCTTGGGAATAGTACATCAGTGCTCTTAGCCGGTCACAAAAGAGGGGATCATTCACATTTGGAAATCTTGGGATACACCTCACATTTGCTTCAAAGCAATCAAGCAAGTGATACAAAGAGTGTCTTTAAACATCATATCCTTGGGGATGCTCCCAAGTTAAGAATACGGGGACCGGGGACACAGCTCAGTGGCATAAGCGCCTGCCTAGCAAGCGCAAGGTCCTGAGTTCAATTTCCGGTACCAAAAACAAACAAACAAAAAACAGTTAAGAATATGCTACATTGTGCATCTGTGGGGCCTGTGGGGCACATTCCTGTTTTAGGGGTGACTTAGATTCTTATCTGAATCTCCCAGCCCTGAACACAGCACCTGGTACTCAGCCAGTGGTCATCAAAGGTTGAATAATTAAGTGAATGAACAAGCGGTTTCTGCCACACAGCAAACCCTGTGCCTGAGGGAAGAGGAGAGCTGGGTCTTGCGGACGTAGATTTACACAGGCCCAGCTTCAGCCAGCAGAGCCCGCCTGGGAAGAGAGGGAGGAGGAGCCTGGCCTCAGGGTGTGTGCAGGGAGGGGCTTCTTTTCCGTAACAGCAGGATGTGGACTCTGAGACCTTGGGTTTCATTTTGGCTAGATGAGGGAGGCCATGGAGCTTGATGGGACCTTACGGCCCTCAGCAACCCAGAGGAATTCACACTGTGCCTGAATGTCTAAATCTCCCATTTCCATGTCTGGAACCCCAGCCTTGTTCCAAAGCAACTGTTAGGCTGGGCATGGTGGCGCACGCCTGTAATCCCAGCACTCCAGAGGCTGAGGCAGGAGGATCATTGTGAGTTCGAGACCAGCCTGGGCTACAAAGTGAGCTCAAGGCCAGCCTGCTGCCTCACTCGTTCAGCCTGTGCCCTCTGTCCTCCCTCCCAGAGAGGCCCCCTCGGCCACCAGGACTGGGCAATGTTGAAGAAGTTAGAAGAACCATGTTTCATATCTCTCTGGCCTGGAAGGACTGGGTAGGTAGTGGCTTCAGGATCCAAGAGGAGAGTCTTCCTCGCTTCTGGCTTGGTTGGTGCTCATTAGTATTCCTGGCTCCCCTGGAAGGGACCCCAGTATACCTAGGCATTGGCCAGCCAAGAAAGACCACCAAACAGAGGTGCTTCTTTCCACCTGATCTTGGAGGAATTTGCTTCATTAAATAGCATCCTGGTTGGGAGAATTTCGTAAACCCTTTGACTTGACACACCTCTGAAACCCTTCTGCACGCCTTCCTTCCTGCTCTGGAGCATAAATGCTATGCATATCTGTCTGGGTTTCATCTGCCCCTTCCTACTTTGCATGTTCTTCTGAATGCTGACCTCAGACTCTGCTCCGACAGGGCCTGTGTCACAATAGAGCACAAACCCTAAATATGGTCTGCCTCTTCCTCCTTCCATGGTACACTGCTTGCAATGACAAGATGTAATTTTTCATTACAAGAGCCATGCTTTACCCGTCCAACCCACGCATTGCTGACTGGAATGTGGGTAGCATTCATTTACAATTATGTGTACACCTTGTAAATGTAAATGGTAACTCCGTAATCCATATGGTAATATGGTAATAGGGCCATGGACTCATGTCTGGGAGAAGCTCTTTATTTATTCAGAGACCTTCAGTGGGGTAAGCTACCTCCCTGTTTCCCAGATTTCTCACCTTCTCTTGGAGCTGCTGATTCATACCTGTGCTTTCTTGCAGCAGCTGAGATGATGGACAGAGCATGAACTTGGAGCTAGACTCCCACTTCTCATGTCAACTCCGTCATTACTTATAGTTGTCCACTGGTGTGAGCCTTTTATCTGAAAAAATGGAGATACTCACTCCTGCTCCAGAGAGCTGTTAAACCCCTGATGGTGAGCCTTGCCTTGTAGAGCCTGCAATGTCAGCAAACAGCCCGCTGTAGCTCAAGTTCCGTCTGTCGGTTCACCACCGCTGTGTTAGACTGTTCAGTGAGATAGCGTAGGCGGAGATGTCCAGCGCCTAGTAGGTATGAGTGGTGGAAGTGGGTTTCCATCATGAAAGGTGGATGGATTTGAGCAAAGTACTTTCTCAGAGCCTCTGTTTTACCATTTTCAAACTAGGGATGGTAATGGAAAGCTCTTGAGAAGAATGATTTGAATATTTGGAAAGCATCTAGCAGGGGTTCTGGCATCAAGTAAATAAAATACACCTTGCCCTACTGCTCTTCGCCATCGTGTCCAGCCATTAGATGCTAACTTTTTGTGACCACTGCTCATTGGTTCACTGAAATCAATAGTAGTGTCCTGTGGGGTAGGGTAAGGCGTGCCCATACCTTCCTCCTTAATGTGGCATTTCCTTTATTGTGGGTGTCAACTTAGTGTTCTCTTCTTAACTACTTTTTTTCTGAGATCTACATCTTTGTGTTTGTGTGTGTGTGTGTGTGTTACTGGGGATGAGCTACATGCTCATCCATTAAGGAAATATTTTATTTTGAGATAGGGTCTTGCAAAATTGCCTTGGCTAGGCTCAGACTTTGGATCCTTCTGTCTCAGCTATCCAAAATGCTGAGATTACAGACCTGTACACCGTTCCTGGCTATCTTCACTGATTTTTACAAGAAACTAAAGGAATACTGTAAGACCTCAAGACAGAGGGCAGAAAATCTTCAAGTAGGATGGGGGTCATAGAAAATGCTGGAATATTCTTTGGCAGAGAAGAGAGTATAGAGATCGTAGGCAGAATGGTAGGATCGAGGCACAAATGTGCGTTCCTGTGTGACATCTTGGGGGAAGAGAGGTGTGTCTGACGCAATTATCTGCAAAGTTGCTGAGGTGTCTTGGCTCACAGAAGCATAATTTCCTTAGCAGAAAATTTTGATTTTTCAAGAAGACTGTCACAAGAGTACATGGTATATAATTCTAGTATATGAACCGAGAACAATGTTTTCGGTAGAAAATGGGAATTTCTGTTATGGGTATGTATAAAACTGCAACCATGAGCTCATGTCTGTGAAATAAACAAGCTGTGCTAGGGCACGTGATGGGCGGTCCCGGAGTCTTTTCCATGATTATTCAGCCAGGACTTGTTCCTTCCCTTTGCCATCTGTGAGTTCTCACAAGAGATAGGCAGAGCTGCCGGTGCCAAAGGTTTCACAAAAATTGATGGGAAAAACTTAACATTGAGAAAATTGTATCTTTGAGCAGTTTGGACAAGGCTCCATTATTCTGTTTTAATGAAGGAACCTTTCTTTCCAACTGAGGGGACTTCTGAGGGCTGGGGAGGGCTGGTTAGTGGACCGGGAGAGGGAGGCGGTCTGGAGGGAGGTGGGTAGGGACCATGTCTCAGAAATCTCAGCAATTTGGGTCTAGTTCTTTGGGCAAGAAGGAACCTCAGTAAGTTCTAAGGCAGGGGAGTGGCAAGTGGAAAGGGGAAATTTGGGGAAGAAATATCTGATGAGTGGGGAGTGGGCTGAAGCACATCAGAATGAAAGTACAGAGAACCTGAGTGAAGAGATCGGGTGGGGACCAGAAAAAACATCTTTAGACCCCTCCTCGTCTTGGTCCAGAACACCTCAGAGCGCAAAGAACAGGGTAGGGTCCACCGGAAGAGCAAGGAGGGCTGTCTGTAGGCTCGCACATTCTGGGTGTCTCACAACGGTTGGAATCCACCCAGCGCTTCCTTCTGCTGCTGCTTTCTGCTGCTCCGATAGAGAGGGAGAGCAGAGTTTTAAATGCCTCCAGTGAGTAACTGACTAAGTGCCCCACCAGTGCCGGGGAGCTGGTGGGAGCCGGGGAGGCTCACGTTTGCTTTTTTCCTGACCCTCCCTACCCCCAAGAAATCTTGGGATTTCTTCCAAAAGCTCTTTACTGAGACTGATCACAGAGGAGATCTGTTGGGGCCACTGTGAGACGCAGCCTGAGTCCAAGTCCACTGCACACAAGTAGCAGAATCCTGCCGGCTGTTACATTTGTTATTTTAAAAGATGGTACATTGCTTGTAAGGGAGTGGGATCGGAAGGAAGTAAAAATTGTTCTTTCAACTGGCACGCCTGCCTATTATGCTACTTTGAAAAACATTTGAATTTATGGCCTAATCCCAATCAGAGAGGTTTCAGATACTTAATAATCTCACTTTTGTTTTTTGCGGTTTTCCAAAAATTATTTGGTTTTGTTGTTATTATTCAAGTCAGTCTTCTCCACACAAACAGGGAGTCTGGCCTTTGAAAATCTTTTAAAAATTTTTAAATGACAAAATCATTATATACCCACTGTGTACAATTAGGAAATTACAAAAAAAAAAAAGATTAAAAATAAACTAGCAAGCATCCATCATCCTAGAAATGAATACCGTTAACATTTAAGCATATTTCCTCCTTGTCTTTTTTCTTCGCTGTTTTACATAATGGAATTTTTTTTTTTTTAATATATAACTTTGCATTTTTGCCTTGCCTTATTTCATAGGCATACCTCCAGGGCATTAAACACTTCATAACTCTGTTTTTAAGATTTGCCTAATATGTCTTGTATTGGCTATAATATCATTTTTCTTGTTTCCCTAGTGTTCTGGATTATGCTGCTTCCAGTTCACTGCTGTGAATATCCTTATGTGCATGAGCTTGCACATGTGTGTTAGTATAGGTGATTGTAGGAAGAGAACAAGGAGTTCTGGCCAGACCCTACTGCCTCTTTTAGAGGGTAGGCTTGTCCCTGTGTCATTGTGAGTATCAATCTAGCTTTTGGTAAGAGAAGATAACACCCAGTACAGGAATGTTGTAAACACATTAGAGAGGTCTTACAAATCCACTTTGTAATGGAGGAACCTAAGAGGAAACAGAGGTTTCAAAAAGCCTTTTGAATGGACTGGGTTTGTATTGTGTGGTTTTAAAACCAAATTACACATAAGAAAAAAATAAGGGATCTAATGAGGTAGAGAATAGCAGTTACTTTGAATAACAAACTAGTAGGAATGTTAATGTTATTCCTGAAGTTCCCGGCTAACTGGCTTCCTGGGTGCAGCAGTTCCCTAGGTTAACAGAGATTTGAGGTTTCAGAATAGAATTCTGACCCTGACTAGGCCACGTGGGCAAGGTGCGCTTGGCTTTTCTGAGACGCAGATGTACCACTTACAAAACAGATGATGACACTAATATTTCTTCTCTGGGGTTTGGTTGAGAAGATTGAAACACAAACTAAGGGTCAGTACATCGCAACTAAGACTGTGACCCCGTACGGGATGGCTGAGGCTTTCTGTTTGTGATTTTGTTGGCGCTGGGGGTCCCACCCAGGGCCTCAAGCATGCAACGAAAGCGTTCTGCCGAGAGCCTCACCCCCCAGCACTTAGACTTGAATTCCAAATAGATGTGCCTGGCCTCAGGACATCTTGGGTTATATTTTAAAATCCACTGTAGGGATCTGAAACCATTTTTCTTTAGGCATTTAATTCATGGTTTAATTTGCATGCATTGGCTTTCCATGAGGGATAGCTCCACGCTATGTTTATGTTGTCGTTATTGTTGTTATTGTTTTTGCTTCAGTCTTAAGGAAGAGTCAGCGCTGGGCTAAGGGGCCACTGAGACACTACTTCCTCGCTCAGAAGCTTGAACCCTACAATCAAAAGCCAGGCTGGATTCGGAAACAAGTGTATCAGATGACAGCTTATTATGGAAGGCTCTGAACTTCTAAGAATTCTTTAGTAGGAAACAAACAAAATACAAAGATCTCCTCCTACTTTCCTGTGGCTAGGAACTTATTTTTTTCTCTCTGGCTTCAGCCAGCCTGAATGTTTGTTAAAGGCACTCAGGACCCACGGTTTGTGATACTTGAGTGGACGGACGGCTAGTTTTGAGGAGCCACGGATAAGACACGGCTCAACATGCACATCTCCGGGAGCTGAACTTCTCCCTCATTGGTGAAAACATGGGCATGGTATGAGTGTGTGTCTGTGTGTTTTCAGATCACAGAGTCTTCATGCACTGAGCTATATCTCTAACCCTTTTTATTTTTATTTGGAGACAGGATCTCTTTAAGTTGCTCAGGTTGGCCTTAAACTTGTGATCCTCCTGCCTCGGCCTCTTGAGCAGCTGGGATTACAGGCATGTGCTACCACTTTGGGCTAGGGGTTCAGCACTTCTGAGTACATAGGATGGTAGGGAAGAAAAGCCTGTGGTGCTGGGGTTCTGACGGGGCCGCAGGAAGAATTACTGACAAAACCTTCAAGGGAAAACTTTGTTCAGTTGTTCATTTGCCCTTCAGCACGGGAAGGAAAGAGCTACATTTTCCCTGCCCCACTGAAAACATTCTATTTTCTCAGTTCTTTTGAAGTGGCCTCAGAGATCTAAGTATCAGGCTGAAGGCAGCCCTGTGTATCTTTGCAACAGATTAGAACATATTAACATTTTATTTGCTCACAGAACAAATATTTTCCTTGGAATGAGACCCAGGTGGTGAGGCAGGACCAGGCAGGACCAGCCATCAAAGATGGCGCCCAGCTCCAGGCCACACCAGGATTGGTTACTTCATTTGGCCCTATAGACACATATGGACCAATGAACTGCGTTGTTTATACATTCAGAAATATTTATCAAGCCTCCACTGTGTATGAAACAGCAGGCAGGTGACAGAAATGAAAAAAAAAAAGAAATGAATCTGTCCTGAAGGGGGTCATAGCTAAGTAGGGAGGTCACAGGTATTTGATACTAATGACGCTAGTGAAGGTGACAAAGATAAGTCTAGAAAACTCAAGAGAAGTGTCCTGAGTTGAGCAATTATCCTGTTTGTGTGTTACAGGTGTGTGGGTGGGGGGGCAAGTGTAGAGTGTGTAGTGTGATCCTGGGGTGCATACATCTCTGTGTAGGGAGCATTTATATGTGAGGTATGTGTGATAGGGGGAGTGTGTTGTGTGTGTGTGGTACTACGTATGTGTATATGGTGAGTGGTGGTGGTGGAGTGTGTGTGTGTGATCATATTGATGGTGTGCAGTGTATATGGATATATTAGTCATGGTGTTGGTAGAAATGAGATAGGAAAACCTTTCTCTGCTGATGGTGGGAGAGAAAGTGGGGTTGGGGTAGGAGGAAGACCCAGCGGACAGAGGAGCTGACGCAGCAAAGGCAGGCAGAAGGAAAAACGCTAGAGGTTCAAGGGGAAGTAGGCTGGGAAGGGTTGGACATTTGCCTGATATCTTCTGACCAAGACAATGGCAGGTTTGCACCTCGCCACTGTCTTATTTCTTAA